GCCTTTCTTCTGCTCTTAGCAGTGAGGGGAGAAATGATCTATATCTGCACTGTTGCACTTTGGAAGAACGTGCATGCATACATGCACAATTGTGTGTGCACACATCTAATTCCACATCTCACGAACCCTCAAGGGCCAAAAAGCTTGTGCCAGCGCATGGCCAGCGCGACTAGACACGGAATGCTGTTACCTTCCCACCATGGTGGTCCCTATTTATCTACTTGCATTTGCATGCTTTTGAACTGCTAGGTTGGCAGGAGCTGGGACAAGCGACGGGAACTCACTCCATTGCATGGATTTGATCTTACGACTGCTGGTCTTCCGACCTTGCAGCACACAAAGGCTTCTGCAGTTTAACCCACAGCGCCACCAAGTCCCTCCTCTTAAACGATACTCAGTATCTAAAAGATGTTAACCCACAGCGCCACCACATCCCTCCTCTTAAACAATACTCAATATCTCAAAGATAAAATATTTTTTTCTCAGAAACATATTCCTGAACATGAACATCTGCTGGATATTAGTAGAGATTTAATCAGTGACAAGTGACTTTATCCATCTTCTATTGCCTGTACTGTTCAGTGAAAGTTTGTTTTAATGTTTACATTTTTAATTCCAGTATCTTGAAAGAGAATGTGTGATACCTTGCTATGCAATTGCAGCACACAAATGGTCCTCTACTGGGATTTTTTATATATTTTAAAGGCAATGAAGCACCAAAATCACCACTTTATAACACACACACTCCTTCCTCAGTAAGTTTAGAGGATACTGTGTTTCCCCAAAAACAAGACAGGGTCATATATTAATTTTTGCTCCAAAAACGCATTACGGCTTATTTTCAGGGGATGTATTATTTTACAGTCATGTCATCTTCTGGTTGCTGCACAACAGTGGAGGGCAGGGTTTCACTTAACAAGGGCTTATTTTTGGGGTAGGGCTTATATTACGAGCATCCTGAAAAATCATACTAGGGCTTATTTTCAGGTTAGGTCTTATTTTTGGGAAAACAGGATATATACCAAGGTGGATACACCAGCAAGAGCTGATGGAAATTGCAGATTAATATCTAGAATCCCTCAAAACCACCTATATTTTTCCTTTTCATGTGCCTATCTCTCAGTTTAATAAAAGACAAGAGTAGATTGGAACAATTCACACTGCAATTATTTATTCCCTCCAGCAAGACGGCCCATGCTATTTCTACCTGAGGGAGTATCTCATACTGTCATTCAAAAGGCACTTGAGGAAATATCATGCAAAGCCTATTGAGATGCACTTTGGCAGAAAACTATTAATACATTATACTTAGTTCTCATCATCATTCAAGTAAGGAATCCGAAAGCAGACTGTCTCTGAATGGCACACAGCTGCTTCAAAAACAGGCTACAGGTGCCAATATGGTTCCTTTTTTGTCCAGCAGAAACTTCCTTAGCCACAGCTCACACATTAATGTTCACTTCCTCTACCTACTTCCTAACAAAAAGCCCATGTGAATATTCTAGATTTATTTCTAAGCTCACTGAGTATATTCAAAGATACCCTGTGTATTAAAAATTGAAAGGTAGAGTGCTTCAGGATTGATTGGGAATGTAAATCCTCACTTTTGCTCATAACGTTTTGAATTCTCTGACGTCCTTCCTCCGTAGTTGTATCATGATCTACCACTAGTACCTACGTACATTACTCTCTGTTACACTGCCACAAACTTCCTACTTTCTTTGAGGCTGCAAGGTTATTTACTAAAAAATTCACAGTATGGGACTGTGGTGATCAAACCTGGCTCAGAACAGAATTAGAACCTTCTGATGAAATCCATAAGCCACATAATCTGCAACACACGTAGTCAAAGCGCATCCCACACCCCAGTCTGTTTTTGGGGTTCCCCACCAAACAGATGCTCACACTTTGCCAGACAAAAATGTTCCCTCCCCCCTCACACAAAGTGAATTGAACCCTGTAGTCCTGAACTGTTTCAGAGAGCCTTGTGACTGCTTTTTCTGAAAAACAGTACAAGATCAGGTCTAAACAGGCTTTTCAAAATGGAACATATAATTTGACCCTAAACATACTCCCGGCATTGACTTCACAACTACAATTTTTCCACCTCTTTGACTTTCTTTCTGTAATTGATCCCTCCCCCCCCAAACTAACGTTAATCTAATCTAATGCACACCCTGTCATGTGACTGAATGGCAAACAACCAGGTGTGTAACTACTAGTCAGTAGTGTTGCTGACATAACACCTTATTTCTGCAGCAGGTCTTTGAAGCAAATACACTCAAAGGTTTTAAATACCCTCAAGGGAGGGCTAGTCACAAATGGACAGAGACACAGAGTTTAGTGGGACTTACTCCTAAAAATACTTCAGTACTGGAATAATCTTTAAATTAGGGTTCAGCCAGCACCACTTCTGTTATACTGAAGTCTGAAAGCCAAGCACTGTCACAAAACAGAAAGCTATTTTTATAGTGTTCTATTATGTATAACAAGAACACACCTAAGTGACTTCATGCAGCTATTTTTATTGGTCAGAAACAAGGTGGGTCTACAGATGCAGGAAAGGGACCAGAATTATTACAGGCAGTTCCAATTCTAGTTTAGATTTCAGCCAGCCTTAAATGTAGCACTTGAAAGACCAATATAACAAAACCCAAGAATGTTCTTCCTTTGAGCATGGCTACTGACACCACATACTGATACTCACTTTTCTTCTAAAACACACTGCTGGTAGGTTTTGTGTATAAATCTTAAAAAGGAATCTGACTCCTCAATATTCTACAATTATAAATGACATACACAAAACATAAGGTCACCAGAAGTTGCAAGTGTTCATATTTTTAAGATGTATTATCTATTGTTTACAAATATTTTCCCCCCATAGTAAAAAACGCAAACATACAAGATAACCCAGACAATTCTGATAGCCATTTTTAGACCTCAATTCATTAAATATTATGATGCACATAACAATCCAAAGCATGTTCATGCCAAAGGAAGTCTGCATGAATGGAATATATTTCCTGGTTAATATGCCCTATAGGCAGCCTAATTTCAATACTAATAGGAGACCATAGGTACGTGCCTGCCCAAATGTCTCACAGTTACCCTGAAAGCCCTATTAGGGTTGCTATTTGTCGGTTCTAACTTGACTGCACATAACAACAATACTATTACAAGATACCATTTTGGGAAACAACCTTTAAAGTAATTGTATTCGTGAAGGCTTTCATGGCCGGGATCTAATGGTTGTTGTGGGTTTTTCAGGCTCTTTGGCCATGTTCTGAAGGTTGTTTTTCCTGACGTTTTGCCAGTCTCTGTGGCCAGCATCTTCAGAGGACTGAAGATGCCGGCCACAGAGACCTGAAGATGCCGGCCACAGAGACTGGCAAAACATCAGGAAGAACAACCTTCAGAACACGGCCAAAGAGCCTGAAAAACCCACAACAAACCTTTAAAGTAATTGTTTCTGAAGCTCCTAACTGAAAGAGTATTTATTGTGATCTATTTATAGTACTAATCCAACCCTGATCAAAGTAACAAACTTTCAAGTGGGTGTAAAGTTCACCACGTGAACATGGTGATGAAGCAAGATAGTGAAACAAAAGTACACAGCAACTGTTATGGGGAGCTAACCTTATACTGTACGTACTTATCATACTGGACACGATAAAGGCTATTACAACTATGCTCACCTTTCTAGGGATTGATTCTGAAAACAATGTAGGTAGTTGGATTTGAAACTGCAAGAAAGGTAATTCTGACTAATCATTAGGAAGAATGGTGCCTTTGTGGAAAGCTATGGAACCTACTTAGATGAACAGGCAAAAGCACCCCTAAACACAGGATAAATGATTGAACAGATTTTGAAATAATACATATTGTCATCTAAAATGGATCGAGGTAAGCTCTGGTGCAGTGGATACAGTGTACAACTAGGATGTTATGTGCCATCCAGCTTTCTAGTAGAGCTTTCAGGATAAGTGAGACATGTAAGGGGAGGTTTTACCAGTTTTGTCCACCCCCAATGAGTTTCCATGGACGAGCAAGCATTTGAACCCAAGTCTCCCGAGTCCTAGGAAGTCACTCTATCCACTACACCACAATGGATATCTACAGGATTCAGAGCCCTGGCTTCAAATCTATGCTTTGTCACAAAAACTCTCTGCAGAATGGCAATGGTAAACACTCCCTGAAAAATTTTACACACCTCAAAATTCATAAATTGGAAGCAACTTGACAGGCCATAACAGCTTAAGATGAGTAACTGCTTCAGTGTACCACTCATTAAAATAAATTGAGGATAATTTCTTGGGAATTGACAAAATGTGGGTACATCAAACTAGATACTGTATGACTACAAGAGGAAGGTGAAGTTCATTCTGTGGGATACAAGCACTGGGAACAACCCACCCATGGGAGTTTCGAGCTCAAGTACCAATGGTCAACACTCCAACTTTTATTCAATTGGAATATATACTGTACACCTCTTTTCAAGGCAAAAACCCCAAACCCTTCCAAAGAGCTTACAAAAATTTGGAAACAATCCAAAAAACAAAGTTAAAAACTGCACTTGTATACAGTCAGCACACAGTAGGCATCAAGAACACACTGATCAAATCTGAAAGGATAGAGGGCCCCAGATAATGAAGAAATATACGATTTATTTTATTGCCAAGCAGAAATGACTTCCTTAGAATACTAATTTATATAATCTTAAACGAGGCCCTGCCTCTTCAACCACGACTGTCACATTTCTAAAGTGCAGGTGGCAAAAGTCCTAACCCCTGAAAAGCTAAATATTGGGAGTGAAAGGCGCCATTTGCCGCTGGTAAAGGGCCTGTACTCTTCACATGCTCAAGAGGTCCAGCTGTCTAGCGGCTGGACTCACTAGCCGCCCGATGACACCACCACCCCCGCGGGGACCCCCCCTGACTTCCACGGGTGAAAGGGTGGACTGCTCTACGGCGAGTGGAGGCCTAACCGGGCGCAAAGCTCACCTCGCTTGTCCCTGGTGCCGTGCCTCTTGGCCAGGGCCAGCTCCTTCCCTATCCTCGCCTCCAGATACTCCTGCTTCTTCGTCAGCATCTCCTCCGTTTCCCGCAGCCGGGCTAAAGCCTCCTGGGGGGAGGGGCCCCCTTTGTTTTTCCCCTTGGGAACCCCCCCGCCCTTGAAAAACTTCTGGATTTTACTCATCCTCGCCGTCCCACCGAAGGGCGGCCCCCCGGCGCCGCCGCCGCTTTAATCCCGGGATCGACAGACAGCCCGCTTCGGCCAAAGCGATCTCAGTGCCAAGGCGCTCGGCGCGGATAGCCGGATAGCCACCCACGCACCCACTGGCGGCCCCTCTCCGCACTTCCCTGCCCGGGCTTAACAACAAGCCGAGGGTGGCAGTAACCGCATTTCCTCCCTCCGTCGGGTCGGGGCGGCGGAGAAACGCCGGGAGGGAAGGAAGCGGCTGCTCTCGGGGGACGACGGCGGAGCCACGTGACCGACACGCACCTGCTACAGGTGCTTCCACCTGGCTTAGGCCCCGCCTCTTTCTCCCCAGGTGACAAGCAGGTGATGCGTGGCCGCGCGCCCGGCAACAGGAAGCGCGGTTGTGGATTTTAACAAAACAAAGCTGGTCTTTGCAGAAAGAAGAGGCACCCTCTGGGAAATAAATCCCCGGGGGATTTGGCGCTCCTAGCGGCCGGTAATGGACATCCTGTTAGGATAGGCCCTCTGCACATGCTCGGAAGCACACTTGTGCTAATGTTCCAGTGGGATGTAATAGATAGAATAAGGGATATGGACTCAGGAGGCCTAGGTTCAAATCCCGGCTCGGAAACTCCCGGGAGGAGGAGGTGGAACTGGCAAAACCACTTCTTAAAGGTATTTCTTTCTTTGCCAGCCCTATAAGAGTCACTCTAAGTCGATACTGACTCCCGATGGTACATAAGAGACAATGTTCCTGAAAAACGAGGGTTACATGTTGAACTAGCTGTTAGTTCCATTTATGCAGCTTGTTAGTTGTGTAGAGATGCTCAGTGTTACAGTATCACCCTTTTCTGTGTTTCTGTCCCGAGCCTACAGTATTCTTCTGGGCTGTCTTTCTGTGATCAGATTTGGAGGCACTGTTTTACAGGCTCTGGTCCTTCCTAAAAGGGGAGAACTCAGAAGGTGGTGCTGGGCGACTCCTGTTCAATATACTGGCCATTTGCCTGCTTGGGTTCCTCAGAATTCTGTTTTGTCCCCTATGCTAATTAACATCTACATAAAACTGGTGTGAATCTGCCTTTGGAAAGGGCTCAGAAACTCCAGCGGATCCAAACCACTGCAGCCAGATTGTTAGCTGGGGCTGATTAAAGGTATCGCAACACACACACCCTTTGCAACAACTTCAACTGGCTGCTGATCCAGGTCCAGGCTCAATTCAAAATGTGGGTTCTAACCTATAAAAGTTCCAAATGGCTTAGGTCCAAGCTATCTCAAAAACCGCATCTCCCTTTATGAGCTTGCTCAGGAGGAAGCCTCTCTCGGGATGTCACTAACCTCACAGGTACACTTGATACATGGGGCAATCTGCAAAAGATAAGTATCCAGATCCTGTCATATGAAATGACAGAGAGAGAAATATTGATGTTTCCATAAGAAAGGTTTCTACTGGTGAACAGTGCTTATGATGCAAAATTATTACCCCCTCTCAGCTTTGGATCATTGAAATGACTGAACAGCACATTTGAAGCCTGTTTACTCAAAGTCCTTCAGAATAAAATGAACCTTACTCTCTAAAAATCACTGTAATAGGATTGCAGTCTATGTTCTTTCCACCTATCAGCAAATTAAACCAAAACAAAAACAAACTAAAATTCAATTGGTTTTGTAAGGTCCCTTGCATTTACAGTGTCCTATTAATTTCAATGGGATTGAAGCTTCCTTGTAAGAAGCTCCATTGAAACATCTTACTAGAGCTGTAAGTGCAAAAGAAAAGTGGTACCTTTTATTCGACCACTAAAAATCAAACAAATTGCAAGCTTTCCAAGAGAAAATTCCACTTCTTCAAGGCTTTGCACAAAGCCTTTATGGATAGTACAGAAAAAATTGTACACAAGAACAAGTTGCATACCTATTCTAGGCATCAGAATCGAAACAGAGCAATAACGGACGCGATACTTTTAAAGAATTCGTTCTTCATCTTACTACTTATTTCTATCAAAATGCTAAATCCTTTAGCCCCGCCCCTCGGGGTGACGTTGACAGCAGTTGTTTCTTTGCCGTAGTCTTTAGCCCCGCCCCTCGGGGTGACGTTGACGACAGCAGTTGTTTTTTTGCCGTAGTTACGCCCTCTCAAGAAGATGAAAGGATGGGAACCATGGTGGAGGAGCGCGCATGCGCTCTGTAAAAAACATGGCGGAATTGGAAATCGGGCAACACTGCCAAGTGGAGGATTGTGGACAACTTGGTAAGAGCCGTGAGGTGGAAGGCAGAAGCTGATGGATATGGAGGAAAGGGTCAGTGGACCGCCAGATTTGTCGGGGAGGCTAGGACAGTTGTACGCGGGTACAACTGGAGCGGGTGGAAACACTTGCGCTTCCAGCCTGGCAGATGGCTCCGTGGGATCATGAAGTCATGATGATTAAGAGTTGGAGCACTTCTGGTTCTCAATCGAAGGTCAACGTGCAGATTTGAGGGTTGCCCGATTCCTTCTATTATTCTTCATGCTTGTGCTCCTCATGGCAGTATTGTTCAAATGGGTACCGGAAGTGTAGGATAATTGCCTGCGACTTTTTTTTCCTTTTGTCTCTATGGATGCTTCCCGTCGGCGATGGTTAAAAGCGGGGAGGACGGGAACAGCCTGAACAAAGGGGCGTGGTTTGCCCTCAGTGTGGGCGGCACTATGTTACTTCCGGTCCCCAGGCAGCCGGCGTGGTTTAGGAAGGCTTTTGTTGTCGTACGAGGCAAGAGGCGTGTCCTGGTTAGTTGATCTATTCTACTGTATAGTTTAGCAATACTTTCGCCCGGCTGATCGGGTCCATGTGTAGGTATGGAAAAGCACGCTTATGTAATTAAAACATTTTAACCCTTTTCAAGAAATACGCTTATAAGTTGGCTCTCATTTAGTGCACACTAAGTAGGCAAGAGAAGACGTCCTGAATTTACTTGGTGTGGCCACTGATAATTGCTTTACTGGGTTTTGTTTGTTTTTAAAATTTACTTCCATTTTGTAGTGTTTGTCATAAATACGTGACCTCATCTGAAAAAGTGGCATATGATATTTAAATATAAGCCAGTGTGGTGGTGTATATATAGAGTGTTGGACAAGGACTCAGGAGATGTGGGTTCAAATCCTTGCTGTGCCAGAAAAAATTCAGTGGAGGGTGGCGCTAGTACAGCCAGTCCATAAATATCTTATATTCCTTAAAAACCCTGTTAGAGTTAACAAAAGTCGGATGCAACTTAAGGGCACCACATGGCAAATAATATTTAAATGGGAAAAAATGCTTTAAAACAAATTTTAAAAAATCAGACGTGAACCAGCAGCATCAAGAATGATTACTGTAGGGAGAAGCTCAAGGAAAGAAAACAAAAGTTATTTATTACTATTGGAGTTATATCACATAACATGTCTCAAAGAAAAGAAAAGCATCCAATTTCTTGCTTCAATCATTTTAGAACTAGTGATTAAGGCATTCTTCAAAGTCCTAAATCAGCCATGGTGCAGATGTTAAGTGTGTTTTACGTGTTTGCGTTATAGCTGTGGCCTGCACCATACTATTAAAAACAACTGAGGATCATAGTGACATAATGGGGAATACATATGTTGTTGTTTTCATGAGCATAAGCATCTAATCTTTTAATAGATATTATCTCTGCACTTTCAGATTTTCTACCTTTTATCTGTGATGGCTGTTCAGGATGTTTTTGGTAAGGAATTCCAATTTATTATATGTACAGTACAGTCAGTTGTCTTGGTGCTTAATAGTAACAAGCCAACATAAAAATATATTTTCCAGTTTTGCAGAACACACAGTGTAAATGTAGGTAGGCAGGGAAGGAAAAGGAGAGAAGGATAAAACAGGAGAGGTAAGAGAAAGCAAAGCATGAGAGAAACAAGTTAAATCAAAGCAAATATATACATGTTTCTTGCATGTTTAACATTAGCTTAATTTAAACTGGGCAACACAAGATTAATCTAGCTGCCCTTCCCATTTTAATCCTATGTCCAAAACTAATGATATATCCTATCTTTGTTTTTATGTAACTGTAAGTCTTCAGCATAGAAGTCGGGCTGCTCACAATTGTTCTGGGGTAAGTTGATAACTGGTACTTGATTCTGTGGCTCTTTCAGCTAATGTTGATGTTGATTCCCTTAGTTTCCTTTAAAACTTTTGCAAGCAAAACTTAACAGATTTTTTTTCACTACAATCAAATTTACCATACACTTTTTAAAAAAAATCAAAAAGTATTTGCAAATGAGCACCCTTTTCAGCCCACACAATCCATCCTATGTCTGGGACTGCACAAAAAATTCAGTGTGAACTGGGTTTTTTTGTTAATACAAATGGAAGCTAACACTGTGCTTGCATGCCACCAATACAACTTGTGGCAATTTCCCACTATCTTGCACATAGTCTAGTTCCTATAGAGCAGGATGGGAAATGTCTCCTTCAGGTGGATTTATAGTACACCTCTGGCCAAAACAACCAAGGATCATCTGAAGTGATAGTTGTTGTTGTTTAGTCATTAAGTCGTGTCCGACTCTTTGTGACCCCATGGGCCAGAGCACACCAGGCCCTCCTGTCTTCCACTACCTCCTATTCCTATTCCAATTGTCACTGCAGTTGGTATGTCTTTGAGTTAGAATTGCACTGGCCAACTCCCAAAGTCCAAGCCAGAATTGTCAATGATCAAAGATGCTGGAGTTATAATCAAGTGATTGCAGACCTCTAACCCCTTTCTTTTTTCACAAAGTCCTATATGGGAACTGTTTTTTTTAAAGGGGGCAGCTTGCATATATGAACCATTCCTTTAAAATGTCATGCTTGACTGCTATTAATTTAGCAAAGGATGGAAATGGACAGTCAACGGTGGCATTATATGGTTGAGTCTGGGAGTCATGCAATCCCAGTTCTTGCATTAGCCTCCTTAAAAACCTTACATTAAAGTTTTGCAGTGGTTCCAACCTTGGGTAACCCAGGTGTTCTTGGACTGCAATTCCCAGAAACCTTCACCACCAGCTGTGCTAGCCAGGGTTTCTGGGAGTTGCAGTTCATGAACACCTGGGTTACCCAAGATTTGGAACCACTGCAGTAGATCATTGGTTGAACTGCAGTAGTAAGTTGCAATTAGAGTAAGCACCTTGGATCAGTTGCACTTAAGCAGGAGTTGATTCATCAGTTTTGCACTGATTTAATTATCCTTCTAGTTGTAACTTAAAAGTGGATTTAAGCCATAGTTTGCTATTTCAACTGAACTACCTAAGTACAGTATGGTTTGTGCTTCTCTACAAAAAAAGAATTGAAAAACAGGAATCATAGAACTGTGGAGCTAAAAGGGACCCCAAGGGTTACTGATGATTGAGGTGACTGACGAAATGCCAAGTTTAAACATACTGCTTCAGAATGTTTAACCATGAGAACTCTTTGTACACGTATTTATCTGACTTGTCTTTTGAAATTAACTTAGGCAAATCTGAAGAGTGAGGATTTGAAACCAGATCACCACAAATCTATCCTGTGCACATATAAAGGTTGTGAAGGAAGAGAACTTGTACCTGTGTTGTGTGCTTATTGTGAAAAACATTTTTGCTTAAGGCAAGTAAAAGAATGAATTTAACTAGTCTCAAGACTGTGAGGCCATTGCATTGCCTTGCAAAATACCTGATAAACATTTTCATATATATTATTTTCAGGCATCGTCATCAGTCAGATCATGAGTGTGAGAAATTAGAAATCCCCAAACCTCGTATGGCTGCTACCCAGCAACTTGTTAGAGACATTGTAGGTAAGTTTAGTAAGATAATACCACATTCTATTTTCTTTTCTATTGGGCAGTAGAATAAACAGGGTATTGGCATTAACGTGTTCAAATTTTAGGGTTTAATTTATAAATGTTTTCCCAGATGTTAACTGCCAGTGAATGCAGGTAGGCTTGTTCCTAGGTTTGTGAATATAGGATTAGAGACCTAACGGTGTCTCCTGTTTTGATAGGGACTAAAGTTGCAGTCCTATATGTGAACTCAGGGATTTCTGAGCAGACATGTAAAGAATTTCATTGTACATTCTGTGGAGTCTTGTGATACCTGAAAATAAGGCTGAATCTCCCTGTAATCATGTTCAGCCCCATGATAGGTTATCCATGTTATAATGCTCCTATTATAATCTCATTCATTAGAAATGTACTCTTGAGTCTTGAATGTATTCTTATGAGTCTTCACATATGGAAGATTTGTGCAAGAGTATATCACTCTCCCAATGCACAGGTTTCTCAGCATCTTGCAAGTGTGCACTGGAGCAGATTTTATTCTTAGCAAAATGAGAGAAACAAATAACTCCTCTTACATTGAGCACATGTGTCTATCACAGAGTCCAAGAAAGGAGGCACAGCGAGTAAAAGATGCAGAGGAGCCAAGAACAATGAAACAGCAGCTAAGGTGGCTCTGATGAAATTGAAAATGCATGCTTGTGGGGATGTATCCTTGCCACAGGTAAATCATGCTTATCTTGTTGATAGCAAGACACCACATACATTTTGTATTTATTACCATATTGAAAGAAAATTGATTTTTGTATATTTGCTGTTACATTTTTTATAACTTTTTTTTCAGATTAGGGCTTGCTGAAAGAAAAAAACATTTGACCTACAAAGGTGTAAACTACCTAAATAATTGAGAGGGGGAGTGAAATTGATGGAGAAGCTGTTGCAAAATATGAAAGAAAAAGTATTATCATGCTGAAGCAACATTTCTCCTCAGTATAATCCCTTTTTCTTAGCTTCTCTGTTTTGTGGCTGAAAGAATTTATGTATTTTGAAACACTTATTTACAAAAGCGAACGCCTGACACCTGATCTTATGAGAAAATACTGGTTTTCATGGAAACATGAACGTTTACATCATAAATTTCACTAGTGCAAAGTAAACACTCAACAAGCCTAACCTGGACAAAGCAGGAAATACACAGCTAAAATGTCCTTGACAAATGGCCATCAAACCTCCATTTAAAAAACTCTGATGAAACAGAGTCCACCGTTCAAGGTAGTCAATTTTATTGGCAAACAGATCTTACTGTTAAGAAATTCTTAATGATCAGCTCAAATCTCCTTGTAATTTGAATCTATTGCTCTGGATCCCACTTCCTGGACCCAAAGAAAACAAGCTTGTTCTATTTTCCTCATAAACCACTTTTAAATAGTTAAAGGGTTGTTATTTATTAATTTCCATTTCTATACTGCTCCATTAGTGTTGACATTTTCTGGGTGGTTCCCAATATAAATAAAATTCATTCATACAATCAACTTCTGTATCATCCATCTGGCTACCAAGGCCACTCTGGATGATTTATAACATGATAAAACAAACAATACTGTAAGAAACATAAACATAATAATTATACAAAAACAATTAAACATCCCAGTCCACATACACAAAAGACAACACCAAAATAACTAAAACTAATTTAAAAAGGCAACATAGCGGGACAGGTGATGTAATCATGTGTGTTGTTCTGTGCTGGCAAGTTGGAACTGACTTATAGCGACCTTAATAGGGCTTTCAAGGTAAGTGAGATATTTAAGGACTGGTTTTACCAGTTCCTCTTCCCCATTTTCAAGGTAAGTGAGACATTTAAGGACTGGTTTTACCAGCTCCTCTTCCCCATTGAGTTTCCACGGCCAAGTGAAGATTTGAACCCTGTTCTCCAGAGTCCTAGTAAATACAATAAACCCTGATGCTAGCTGAAAACTACCTTTAAATAAAAATACACTAATTCAAACTTATTTGAATATCTCAGTATTTACACAATAGTTACACTAGTAGAAGGCAGCTCTATATAATTTGGTATTAATTACCTTCCTAAAAACAGACGGATGGTGCTTGGCGAACCTCTGTAGGAAGCTTATTCCAGTGGGAAGGGGACATGACTAAGAGAGCTTGGTTACTTGTGCTGGGGTTTTTTTTATTCCTTAGGTGTGCCAAGTCTAGCATCATAGACTGCAAGGAGCATGTGGGATGGGTAGCTATTTTATGGGAGAGATGTCCCACTAGATATCAAGAGCCCAACACTAGAATAACATCGGATTATCAAAAAGTGGATGTAGATCCTATTTTACTGTCAGATGCTCCATGTGGTTTCTCTATTGTTTATAGAGAATCTCTTTTGGAGGATTTATGTTAATATTAAATATGTGCCTAAGAACTGAAATGCTAACATTATATAAATTGCCTTTTCTGCTGCAGACAGAAAGAATCTATTTCCAAGTATTCTTACCTAAAGAAACCAAGGAAAAAAGCAAGCCCATGTTCTTCTGTAGTCGCTGGAGCATTGGCAGAGTTATAGATTCTGCAGCTTCCTTGGCTAAGCTTAAAAATGACAACAACAGAAGTGCAGCAAAGGTAAGCAAACTGAAGCAACAATTGTTGTTTTTAATATTATTTGATTTAGAACTGAATGAAAAAATAAAGTCTCTCCCTCCCCGTTACTTTTCAGAAATTAAGACTTTGCCATGCAGCATCTGGAGAAGCTTTGCCCCTGGATCACACCCTAGCATCTTGGATAAACTGTAAAGAAACTCCACTATATAACGGTGGCAACATAATCTTGGAATACCTTGACAATAATGTTCAGTTTTTAGAAGATGCAGATTCGTATTTGGAATAATTATGGAAAAGACTGCTCATGTAATTATCACATTAAACAGAAGAAGAAAAATTTCTTTGCTTGTGTACACTTTTCTTACTGGCATGAATTCAGGACATCCATAGATCATTCCATTCAAAGTATGCTGAAAAATTTCTCCTAGAGGAATTACGTACTTTATCCTTTGCAAATGATCTCCCCAGAAAAGAAGTGAGTTTGAATTGGCAGTTGTAATTTTCATTAGTCACAATCATTTCTTCTCGTTCATTCTTGCTTGTTGGCCATGTCATTGGAGGTTCAGTTGTCATGAACTGAAGAATCCAAGGGACAGTGGAGAGAGTGATATCCATTTACCCTGTACTGAACTTTGGATATCTAGTGCTTAACCATCTAGTGATTAAAATGTATAATGATGCAAACTATGTACTTCCCAGATTCTTTTTCCTGCACAATTGTATAATAGCAAAAAAAAACAAAAAACCCCTAATCTGCTCTTCTTTTCTTCAACCCTAATCCACCTCTTTTAATGTGAAGAAGCAGAACCGAATTTGAAAGCTGATTTGTAGAAATTCAGGCCACTTACAGAAATACTTCTGTTCCTTCTTTCACTCATCTAAGATACATTAGTCTTCTTTTACCTTTTACCACTCTTCAATTACTACTGTTAAAAATAGCTAATGCTCCATCATACATTTAAAAATGGTTTCATACTGCAAGAGAGTCTATGTCAGACGACAGTTAAAACATCTTTGAATGCATATGGCCATCATCTGGTAAGCTATCCATTTTATCTATAGAGTAATTTCTCAGTATATCACCAAAAACCTGATCATGCAGGCAGGAAGAGTACAAATATCCGCTTTACAGTGCAGATATCCACAGCCTGTATATGTATGTACAAAAAAACAAGGTGGGAAACTATAGCAGGTGTGAGGAGCAACTTCAGCCCTCATATGCCAAATTTCAACCATACAATAACAACTGGAAGTACGTTTCCCTGTTTCTGACTCTTGCAACCTGGTTTCCAAGCGAAAATCTAAGGCTTGAGAACTCTGTGCCTTATTTTAGAGAAGTGTATTGCCCACAAACAATGATAATGATGTACTGTTTCTGACTTTTGGTAATCTGCCAGAGTTTTCTAGGTAATAGTACTTAGGAGTGGTTTTCCAGGCCCTTCTTCTGATGGTGGTCTAGAACTGTACAACCTGCTCAAGGCTACATATTTGTACTCTAGTGAGTTGTAGTACCTGGCTATAGCACCAGTGGCTAGGATTGCAACTTACCACTGGGCTCCTGGAAAAACAGCCAGCCTGTGTAACCTTTGGCAAGTTGCACAGTTCCACAGCACCTCCAAAAGAATGGACGGGTAAACCACTTCTGAGTACTTTATATCCAGGGCTCCCTGTCAAGGGTCACCATAACTCGGAATTGTCAACACTTCCTAAAGGCTCCTAGATTCTACTGTAAAACAAGGTTCACCGCCCACACACCTTTAGTTTGAAATATTCCTTTAATGACCCCTTTCTTTTGCTTCCTTTCCATGTCACTTAAATTGGGTGCTCCTGTCAGAGTGACTTTTCCCAAAGTCATCTACCCGCTCCACTAGGTCCTCCCAGACAATGCTCCAGGTAGCCACGCTGAAGGAGACCAGGAAATCACCCACCAGAAGTAGGGCCTTCTTTGCTGTGACACCAACACTAGAACCACCTCCTGATGAAGCTACCCTTCCTCCCAACATTCAAAAGGCTTTACAGAGAGGCCTTTCTTGGCAACCCTGACTGACATTTTTTTCTGTTTGTTTTGTTTGTTTATATGCTTCATATTTCATGTTCCATTTGCAAATCACACCTGTTGGAGTTTTTATATGCTTATTTGTTTTGTTTACTGAATGCTTATTGTGTTTTATCTCATTGTAAAGGGCTCAGAATGGTACATCACATTAAGGAAGCAGTATATAAATTATTGTAAATAAATTCAGTGGCAGCCACTCTTTGGGGCATTAAAAAAAACTTGAAGCCTCACATTGCTCTCTCATACTACATGGCAGACTATCACCCCGCTGCCCTTCAGATTTTATGGGACTGCATCTCCAACTCACATAACCTATTGCAATGGATTATGGGAGTTGTAGTCCAATTACATTTGGAGGCTACACCTTCCCTCTCTCCTACTCTCTTTTAATTAAGCATGCTGGTCCATTAGCAACAACACTCGATTATGGGAGTTGTAGTCCAATTACATTTGCAGGCTGCACCTTCCCTCTCTCCTCTCTTTTAATTAAGCATGCTGGCCCATTAGCAACAACACTCACGAGTTCAGCAATACCTTGGGCTGACCAAAATGCTGCAAGACTATAAACTGGCAGACTCTCCAGAATCCCTCTTCAAGGTAGATGGTAGTATCTGAGGCCCTTTCTTGGACTGCAACTCCCAGAAATCCTGGCCAGCACAGCAAGTGGGGAAGCCTTCTGGGAATTGCAGTCCAAGAACATCTGGGAACCCCAGTTTGAGAATCACTCTACTAGAGAACTCAAAAGCTTACACTTTGCTGGCACTGAGGGTTGCTTCAGTCAAGCCATTGCCTAGGCACAGCTATTGGTTATTCTTGCTACAACCCCTCATATGTGTCTCCCCTGTCATTGGTTCTGTTACAAAACACTTGAGGTGAGCTGGCGTTTGGTTTTGATTTTGCGCTTTTTGGACTACAACTCCCAGAGTCTCCATCCGGCCTGCCTGAGGAGTTCTGGAAGTTGTAGTCTTAAAAAAAGAAAGCAAACATTGACACAGGCTCTCCAGAACGCCAAATATGACATTCCAATAAACCTGGGAGGCGTTCTCTGCACGGAACCTCCTATTTCCCCGCCCCAAGAACGTCAGAACGTGTCCGAGCCAATAGGATGCGCCGGCGAGTGTAGCGCGAGCCAGCTTTTCCCTCACGGGTCCCTCCCTCCTTAAGTGGAAACGCGATGACAGAATTGGAGGCGGGCTCCCTCAGAAGACAGGGTTGAGAATCCTTGCGCCTGCGCAGTGGAGTCCTTTGAGGTCCGATTCAGGAACCGGCTTTGCCAGTCCTGGTAGTAGCTGCACCGATTTGACTTTCCAACGGTAAGCCCGTGCTTGTTCCTTCAGGCCTGGTTATCGATTCTGCTCTGCCTTCCTCTGTGCACTGCCAGCTATTTCTCCTCTCGACTTTTAACGGATGCATGAGATCAAACTCTACATACACTCTTGGGCTTCTCCTTTTTATTGTTATTATTTGTGCATATATTCCATGGCTGGGCCGTGGCGCAGGTTAAAACGGATTGGTCCTTAATCAGAAGGATCCTCGCTGGTTAGAAGCAGCCAAGCATAATATGTCTCTGAAGATTTGCCAAAACCTATGTCCAAGAATGCCCATCGAAGACAATGAGTGCTCTCTCTAGGTCCAGAGGAAGTGGCGGGAGGTGGAAATGATAGTCCTGGCCTGCATTGAAATCACTTTTTTTAAATGAATAAAAATCCGTGCTGGTACACGAGTAAAAATAATATCTGCAGGGGATAGTCATGCCTTTAGTAAGGCCAGCCAAAAAGTATGCAAAATTTTTGGATTGACCAGCAATTCATTCAGTCTGCAGGGGGAGGGGGGTTGGGGTCCCTCCCTTTTCTTTCCAACCCTAGGCGTTTTACCTAGCCTGATGAAAATTATTCTGGGTAACTGAAACCTGGCACATTATTTTGGCATCTTTAGCAGCCCTAAGAAATATATTTCCAAACTGTCAATTGAAATCGATAGAAGGAATAGACCATGAGAGTCACAAAGATGGAAATAAAATGAAATGCCACCTTTGTTTTAACACTTGCAAAGGTGTGAATGCTATGCTTTTAGTGCAAATCAGTAATGCTGTAGTTCCAAACCCACATAGGTTCATACTAGGTCAGATTCGCCATCCACCAGCTCAATTTGCTGTGTTCTACTCAATGGTGACTCTTGGTCAGTAGAGACTTTTTCACATCTTTTATCTTGAATCTTCCACAAACTAGACTTGTAGGTTACTGTTGATCTGTGATCCCTCCTAGAAGTATATTCCACTGATTTCAGTGAGGTTTATATCATAATAATTCTTAATTAATTAGTAATTTTCTTATAACATCTCTACCATATCATGGCTTTTTAACATGCATAACTTGGAGAAATACTGTACTATCTTTTGCTTAGATAAAGATGGCTGATCCATGGCAGGAATGCATGGACTATGCTGTTACTTTAGCAAGAAAAGCTGGAGAGGTATGTATACTTTATTATTGTCTTCTGAAAAGTCTGTTTGCTTATACTGCTATCTAGTGCCTGAACATTACAAAGGGATACTCTAGTAAGGCTTTATGAGCTAGACAGGGAAATCTAGAAAGGATGTACAGAATTTTGATTTTGCCTGCATCCACACAACTTGTATATCAGCCTGCTGTGGCCTGTAAGTACAGTCTAAAGATGAGTGGGTGGGGGAGATCTCTTCCACTGCCAATTATTGTTTGTTCAAATCTACATTTGACAATAAAGTGTGGCAGGGGTGTTTTATAATACTTTTTTTTTTTTGCTGTCTAAAGATGAGTGGGTGGGGGAGATCTCTTCCACTGCCAATTATTGTTTGTTCAAATCTACATTTGACAATAAACTGTGGTAGGGATGTTTTATAATACTTTTTTTGCTACTGCTTCTGGTTTTTCCTCCCTGAGAAGAAAAATATTTTGATTAAGTAGTATGCATCACTTTGTCCTTTTCTTTTAAATCTAAAAAACTATGTTAATTCCAATTTTTTAAAAATCACACACAGAATTTTTCATTACAGGTAATTCGAGAAGCTCTGACAAAGGAGATAGCAATCATGATTAAAAGCTCTCCAGCAGATCTAGTGACAATCACTGATCAAAAAGTGGAAAATATGATTATTTCTTCTTTAAAACAAAAATATCCATCTCACAGGTACAGCATATATTAGAGCTTTATTAGTGGTGTGGTGAAAAGGTGGGTCTAAAATGCAAGTATTCACCCTTTTGATCTTGGTGGCTCAAAGTTAAGTAGAAGAGAACCTGGTAATTAAATGACCTTGTTTTTACCATGATTGTATCTGCCCTGTATAATTGCTTCATTTCACTTTCAGTTAGGGAAGGAGGAAGAAAAGAAGAAGAATATGGCTTCCTTGTTCTAGATCAACATTCTGTAATCTGGTGTCCTCCACAATGTCCATCATCCTTAAACAATATAGCTAAGTGACTGGGACAACAGAAATTATATTTCAGCACCTGCGAAGAGTGTGTTCAGTTTGTGAAGGCTCTTCTCTTCCATTCCAATCATGTAACAGCAAGAGGAGGAATGGAAAGATGGACAAAGATAGCTATATCAGGATAAGAAAAGAAGATGGTATTCCACTAGCTACAGAAGTATGGTGTGACAGCTGCCTAATTAAGGCAAATACTCAGAAAGAAACCCAGTTTTGCATGAAGGACTTATAGTACTTGGTCATCTTTACATGAAAAAATCAGAAAATATAATTTCTTATAGTTTCTATCTGACAGAAATACAGGGTGTTTCCTATTGCATATATGAGCATAAAAGGCCGATTGAACGGGCACTTGAACCATATTTCAGTGCAAAAGAATGGATAGCAGGCTCTATCATCCACACAGCTCAGTCTAACATTTTGCCGCTGCTCCATGTACTTCAGGATCTGCCATCTGAGGTAGTTGTTCTTTCTACCTAATGATAGGGCTGGCCCTGATACCTATACAGAACATGTTTGGAGGTAGTGTACTGCTGAATACCTGTTGCTCGGTCAGGGGAAGTGCTATTTTATTCATATTCTTCTTGAGGCCCTCTGTAAATCTGCCACATGACCACACCTGAACATTTTACTCTTATTCTCTCTATTTGAAGCAGGGCTGGGAAACCTGTTGTCTTGGCTTTATCGAAAAACTGCTACTAACATCATTCTTCATCAGATAAGACTACATGGTGAAGATACGAATGGAAGTAAAAAAAAATCTGAAGGACCACATGTTCCTCAGCAGTGGCTTACAATTAAATGGGTCTTAAAATTGGTCATAGTCAAGAAATTATTTGTTAGATAAATGAGTTTTTAAAGTTCAAAAAGATAATTTAAAATCTATGTATGTTGGATGTAAATAGCACACATGCTCTTACTGTAAAAACATATTTGTCTACTCTAGCTTTATTGGCGAAGAATCTGTTGCAGCTGGTGCAGGAAGTACCTTGACAGATAATCCCACCTGGATTATTGATCCTATTGATGGAACTACTAACTTTGTACATAAGTATGCTTTTTCTTTTACTTTCTGTTCATCCCTGTATAAATTTAGTATCTTGTTTGCCTAGGAGAAGAGTACGATAATTGATCTGAGTTGTGGGGCGAATATATTACACTCTGGGGTTGTGGTTTTTTGCATGTTTGGAATGGGCTAGTTAAATTATTACATTTTTTAAAATGTAAAAAACTTCTTGTTTGTTTGCCAAAATCTGCTTATTTTATCTCTCTGTTATTACTGTATCATTTTGCCTTTGAAGGAATATAATATATTTCTCTCTTTGATTTTCAAGGTTTCCCTTCGTGGCAGTTTCAATTGGCTTTGTTGTGAACAAACAGGTAATTGTTCGTTTCATTTTCACATTCAAGGGATGTGAAAATCTATTTGCCTCTATACCCCAAAATTTAAGTGCTGCTTTTTCCTGTTTACAGATGGAATTTGGAATTGTGTATAGTTGCGTGGAAGATAAAATGTACACTGGGAGGAAAGGAAAAGGAGCATTTTGCAATGAGCAGAAGCTTCATGTATCACAGCAGCAAGGTATTTTTGTTATCTTCAGGATGGAACTTGACACGGATAAGTTTTGTAATCTTTTCTGTATGCTTTCTTTTCTGTAGAAAGGATGGTTCATGTGAAAAGGAATATGATGAGGGATTTCTGCTGTAAACTCCTTGTTACCAATTTAATATATGTATGTAGACACTCCAAGACGAGGGCAGGAAACCATGCCAGAGGTTGCCAGAGATGTGGGGCATATCCCATCTTGCCAGTCAGTGTGGTATAGTGTAGTGACTAGAGTGAGTTTTGATCCTCCCCATGGATCAATCACTGTTTATCAAACAAATACACCTTATAGAGTAGTTTAGAAGTTTAAAATGGAGTTGAGAGCCATGTAGGATTGCCAGGAACTATACCATATAGAGCAAAGTCGGCTTATAAATCTAAAAATAATTAGATTAAGTATAGAATTCTTGCTTCTTTAAGGAAGGTGGATGCTGTGGGCTTGACCTTTAGTCAGAAATTTGTACATTGAACTTATATTCTTCTTCATATCTTTGTTAGAGGCCATATAGTTCCTGAAGGTCACTACACAAATCCAATAGCTATGTTATTCTGTCATATCAAAGACATCAAAGAGACTTGTGTCGCTTTTAAGACCAAGAGTTTATTGTGGTATATGCTTCTGTGGACAAGATGGACTAAAGTTCATAATCTTATGCTATAGCATTTACACTAGTTTGTCTTCAAGGTGCCACAATATTCTGATTTCATATAAATCAAGGTATGACTTTGGGAAGGAGAAATCATATCCTTTCTTGGGTGTTACATGCTAATGATGATATATTTTAAAACAATTTATTTTAAGACTCTCTGAAGCCTTTTCTTTTTTTGCCTTCTTAAACGCTGCTAGTTATGTAAATGAATTTAATGGATCCCCTTAATTACACTTCCCCTGCCTTTTTTTAAAAACAGATATTACAAAAGCACTGTTAGTGTCAGAGCTGGGATCCAATCGTGATCCAGAAGTTGTAAAGATTGTTCTTTCTAACATGCAAAGACTTCTTAGCATCCCTGTTCATGGGTAAGACATACTTTTTAATTCTCTTTTTAGTTATCTTGTTCTTGGCACTCTCCTTTTTAAAATGTGTTTCAGCCAGCACATAATCAGAACAAATGTAGTCCCAGGAAGGGTAAGAAAACCTCTTATTCTAGTATGCTGGTTGAACGACAGCACATCTCAGTGTGAGCAGAAGAAAAGTCCTTGCTTTGGTAAGAAAGGAGGTGTCCATATTGGGGAGCTATCCCCCTCTCCCTTGAGTATAATGAACTGTGTAGCCCCTTACTCTGAGTATGGGAGATGGTATAAGAGCAAAAAGAGAGGAAATAAGGCTAGGAACTAGCAAAGGTAGCAGTGGAGATGGTTGTTGTGCAAGAAATGTATTGCCAGAGGGAGGTTTCTGTTTCTAACAATAAGGCAGAGCTTGGGAAAGTACATATACCCCATCATTCTCAATCTGTTCATAGGTACAGAGTTAAATTGGTCCTGACTGAAATGGATGATGGAAAGAGATATTTCATCTTACCAGTTTGCGACTCTTAACATGTAGTGCTGGCAGGAAAGCCCATTTCCCTGTCTCAAATATTTGATTAAAATGTGTTAAATAATACATAAATTGATCTATTGTCACTTATTTCAGTGGATTTACACTTCACACATATCTTTTATAATAGGGATATGCAGCATTTTCAGCCTAAAGGGCCCCATACAGGTTTGTTTGTGTCCACATACACAAACCTCAGCCCACAGTAGTGTGGGAGATATAAACCCTTCCCACCTACTGAAAGGTAGAAATCAGTGGGGATGGGGTGTGTGGAAGTGAAAGCCCCTCATATTTACCGTAAATCTTCACTGGTTGGGGGGGGGGAGATGTCCGAAGCCAATAAGCAGTGTCTCCTAACCTAGCTGACCTGTTGAGCTGGTCTGTGGAACTTCAGTTGTAGCCAAGGGTCATCTGTCACCAGAGCTGCAAGCTAGGCCCCACTGTTTTGCGGGGGGGTGGGGGTGGAGGAGGATGGTTTGGTATGGCAATGTGCTGTTATCAAGAATAATGTGCTGATCAAGGAATTGTACTGTGGGAAATGGCCTCAAGTGTAGTGCAGAAATCCATGACTGAAGCATCACTAATGGACATCCAATTCAATTCAAAACCTTTTGTTTGAAGCATCACTAATGGACATCCAATTCAATTTAAAACCTTCTGGTTGAATCTATAATTAAATTAGTTGCACATAAGTAGCATTGACATCAATGGGACTTTCAATACTATAGTCAAACCCATCATTCACACCTCCTATCAGCAAATGACTGTTGATTTCCATAAATACTTAAGTGTAAGACTATATGACCGATACCCAATGTGGTGTAATGGATAGAGTGGGAGTGTAGGACTCAGGAAGCTTGGGTTCAAATCCCCACTCAGCCATAAAAGCTCACTGGAGGTATTATCAATGGGACTTTCAATACTATAGTCAAACCCATCATTCACACCTCCTATCAGCAAATGACTGTTGATTTCCATAAATACTTAAGTGTAAGACTATATGACCGATACCCAATGTGGTGTAATGGATAGAGTGGGAGTGTAGGACTCAGGAAGCTTGGGTTCAAATCCCCATTCAGCCATAAAAGCTCATTGGAGGTATGGAACTGGTAAAACCACTATTTAAATGATTTATTTATTTTGAAAGCCCTATTAGGATCATTATAAGTTGGTTGCAACTTGACAGTGTGTAACAAAGACTATATGGTTTTTCATTTATTGCACCAATACATGTAATCTCTTTTAGGATTAGGGCAGTTGGAACAGCAGCCATAAATATGTGTCTGGTGGCAACTGGTGGAGCAGATGCCTACTATGAGATGGGGATTCACTGCTGGGATATGGCGGGAGCTGGAATAATCATCACTGAAGCAGGAGGAGTGCTGCTTGATGTGTCAGGTAAAAAACAAAAACATAAAAACATCCAGGTATATTTTTGTGCTTTTCTTAACTGAAAGAGGTGTGTTTATTGTGTGCAATTAACAGTTGCCAGTTACCCAAAAACAAGTAGTCTAATCTAGGGAATGGTAAGTTAGACTTGAAGGCAGGAGGGCCTGGCATGCTCTGGTCCATGGGCTTACGAAGAGTCGGACACGACTAAACGACTAAACAACAACAAGTTAGACTTGAACATTTAATTGTATCCCATCCAGTTGGGCAACCATGCAAGTAATTTATGCTTGATTCGTGATTATGATTAAATATATTTCAATCTCGCTCTAAATCTAATGATCTCAAGAAGGGGTGGAGATAATATCATCCAACAAATGTTTCATAACTGTTTATACCTACTTTTTGCCAGGGAACAGCCACTGGATTAGTATTGCGAGTGAATCAACTTATCATATTTACTTTTTCATGTCACTGAAAAAATTATAATTAGTTACATTTCATAAACCAGAAATTTGGCAAATACCAATTTTACTGAGAGTGAACTTCCTGCTAATATACATAGTTATTGCTAGCTCATTCCTACTATTGTAGGAACTTGGTTTGTTGCGTCCCTTACAAGCCAGGAAACCTTATGTACTTCTATGTATTCTCTTCTTCTAGGAGGGCCATTCGATTTGATGTCCAGAAGGATAATTGCGGCCAATAGCCAAGCATTAGCAGAGCAGATTGCTAAACAGCTTCAGGCCATTCCTTATCAAAGGGACGATGCAACAGATTAATGTGTCAAAATGAGATCCTTCATATGATCGACAGCTCCTTTCACTTGGATCCTGTGCTTCAAAAGCTCTTTCAGGGTTAAGCACATCCTTTGCACTTGAGCAGTGTGGCAGGAAACAGTAGGGTTAGTAGTGCATCCTGCTATTTCAAAATCTGTTAATTCCTTCTTTCCCAACTCAAGAGTTTCTGGAAATTTATTTTGTCTTGTGAAAGTGGAATATGAACATTTGAGAAATGTCTAGGAGGGCTGCTGGAAATGAAGAGTGGGTTATTTTATCTCAGGAATTGATATATTGTATATGCCCCATGTATGTAATTCAGGGTCATTTCATTTCACAACAATGTTGCGGGACTCATGTATGCATTCTTTTGTCATATACGTTTTTCTCCTGATGTGGGTTACAAAATACTGTATCTTTTAAAGACTGGAAGGGTGGCTGTGTGACCCTACAGATGGTGTCTGACTATAGTGTGCATGACACCTCACTGTTGACTCTGATGGCTGGGGTTGCTGGTTGTTTCAGAGCCAGAGAATGAAAAATATTTTGAGGAATTACAGTTCCAAAGATTCTAGCAGCCAACATCACCATGCTTTCTGGGAGTTACAGTCCAAAAAAGAAGCATTTCCCATCTCTATTCGGACCAACAACATCTGAAGGACAAGCAAGGTTCCCTCCAAGTCCGTGTGCCTCTGCCCTCTTCTACGCAGGTCTCCTCCTCCTCCTCTGTGCACCCACAGTGATGGTTTTCAGCCCTCTTTGTTCTGGTCACAATGGAATCCCATGTGGAGGGGGAAGCATTGTGCATGAGAGGGGCAGAGCCCTGCCTAGCGGGGCAGAAAATTAGAGGGAACATTGAGGACAAGTGACAGAGTCTTAATCCTTTTTTAAAAAGAGAGTCACGGTTGAATATTTTAAAGGATAAAATAGACTTGGCAATAGAAAGAAGGTCCAGAAATAACATGCCAAGGAAAAATTAAATCATCTGCCACACAACCAATATGAATAGAGAACTTCCCTTAGTAACCTGAGGACCAAATAGATGCCATCATAGCATAACTTTGGTTCCACCCCGTTTTTGTGGCATTCAGATAGATGGATGGACTGTCTACCATTATTGCTTACAGCAGAGGTCCCCAACACCTGGTCCGCGGCCCGATGCTCGTCTGTGGCCTGAGCTGAACCAGGCCGTGAAGATAGACCACCCCCACACGCACTCACCCTCGCTCAGCCTGTGCTCGCGCTCCAGCGTACCCTGTGAGCGGCATGCCGCCATTTGTGCATGCGCATGAGCGAGTGCCTGCACTAGCACTGCGCTGCCATTTGTACATGCACACAAGCAGGCGCACCGGCACAAGCACCATGCTGCTCTTTGCGCATGCATGCACATGCTCTTGCAAGAGAGCACTCGTTTGTGCATGCGCACAAGTGTGGTGGTGCCCTGTCTTCCCCAACCATCCACGGAGTGAAAAAGGTTGGGGACCCCTTGCTTGCAGAACCTAGATTGGCCACAGCTTCTACCTTGGCCACTATATGGTGTACCTGGAGGTGTTTTTATAGTATTTCATGTAAATTTGTTCAGTATTGGCTTGTTCAGTATTCCTTTAGATACATGAAAGATATAAGCTCTGTGGTGGAGGTATGCGCATCTTTGGCTTGCTCATGCTGCGGTTGTGCGGTTACTCTTTTTTCACAGTGGCTTCCAGAAGAGTACATAAAAGAAAAACAAACTATACCTAGATCCAGGTACACCACCACCAAAAATCATTACAGATATAAGCTCTGTGGTGGAGGTATGCGCATCTTTGGCTTGCTCATGCTGCGGTTGTGCGGTTACTCTTTTTTCACAGTGGCTTCCAGAAGAGTACATAAAAGAAAAACAAACTATACCTAGATCCAGGTACACCACCACCAAAAATCATTACAGTCCAATTAGAGTATGAAAGAAACATAGAACTATTACAACAATTATTCGGAACTACATCTTAGAAAAGTTACATTTTGCATGCAGCATCCAGAATGCTCCAGCCAGTTTGGCCAGGGCCATGTTCACTGGCAATTCTCTGTGTTGTGATCTAACAAGTAAGTTTTTAAAGCTCTAATCTTAATACAGCTATTACACTGAGCCTTGATTTCTAAAGGCTACTTTTGAGCAATTTATCTTTACTTTAAAAAAGTGAGAATTTGGGGAGAGATTAATTTTTCCTTTAAAAATCTGAAAGATTTAGTTATTTTTAACTTTTCCCTCTCAAGAAATGGAACAAATAAACAACATATTTTTCCAGGGACAACATTGTGTCTTTTGAAACCCTGGAAGGATAGTTAACCAAGATATTATGGCATAAACTTCTGTAGGTCTGTTGCTTTAAAAAGATTACTGACCAACAGAAGCTGTTACTAAAATGTATTTGTTGGTCTTCTTGGTGCACAAGACATTTTCAGGGTTTTGTGTGTCCTGATATGTTGTGCCACTCTTTACTATAAATTAATTGACTGTCATCTGTTGGAAGAGAAAAAATCACCAATGTAAAAAAGCATTAGGAGATTCAGCAACAGAGCTTTGTGACAGCCAAAAATGATATGAATTGTACATTAAGAGTGCATAGCTTGTTATTGCATTGCTGGATCTCTGGCCAAAATGTGTTCTGTACCTGATGCAGAAGTCCTGTCCACGGAGTCTCTGTATTGTGACTAATGATATGTTCACAGCACTGGTAAAGTTCTATAAATTTCACATTCTAATATATTTTATACACACATTTGTGAAATCTCTGGCCTTTTATTAAATCATCCAATGTTCTAGCCTAATTCAGCCACAACTGTGTAGCCATCAGCATGTTAAAAAGGTGAGTTTTAGAAGTAACCATGTTCATCCATGAAAGCTCACAATAAAATATAGCAGTTAGTCTTTATGGCACCTTAAAGACTAACTGCTATATTTTATTGTGAGCTTTGTTTTTATTTTTTGATCTGTTTTTGCCTGACATGTTAGATGGATAAGGATTTTCTCGAAATAGAATTTTCTCCAGCCAAACATGTATCCTAACCTGCAGAATTTTTTTAAACTCCAAATTTACTTTGTTTCATATTCAGAATCATTGTAGGGGCAAAGTTGTCTTAGCCTAACCTGTTGCTTCCTATTCATTTCACTAGAACATGCACCACTGTTTAATGATAAAAATCTTACAGTGCAGTCATGTAAATTGCTTCTGCCACTATACACAGTTTCAGGCATTCATTGTGGAACGGATCTTCCATGGAAATAGAGGTCCTACTGTATTTGTTTAAAAATAAAGTTTAATTGAGGAGAAAAAAGCTAAATGGGGTACATTGTAAAATGAATTGTTAATATACTATAGTCACACATTAAAATAAATATCAGGTTTATTTACAATCTTGCTTTAAAATGAACATGAAAATTATCTCCCTACTTTTCCTGTTAAATGACCTATTATATACTGAGGAATTATTCAGTTTTTTAAAATCACATTTCCACCACTATGTTTTTTTAAAGTTTCAATATAGAACGGTATATCAGAACCAACTTATTGGACAGCAGGTTCCTTTATATTCACAGTTGCCTTTAAAAACAAATCACGGCACCCTTGTCATTTTGATCATCCAAAAAGCCATGAAGATCTGAAGGAAGTGTCTTCTTTTCTTCAGACATTAATTGCCCTAGATCTGAGCGAGAACCCAAGTTATGTCAAGTTCTTGTTCATGTGTATAGCCTACATGTGAGCAGGAATCTGTCCCACTACAAGCAGGGGTGATCAGGCAGCATGTAGTAGCACACTATTTGTGTGCGAGAAGCTAAGGGTCTCACATGTTGCCTCATGACAATTCATCAATAGAGTAACTTGGGATCAATTGTTTTTGCTATTTTTGATGGCCTCTATTTTTTTACTGTGGTTGGATAGCTCAGTGGGCTGGATAGCTGATGGTTTAGCTATCTGGCTGCAGAGCCAGAGGTTGGAAGTTTGATTGCCCACTATGTCTCCTGTACAGAGAGCCAACCTGTATATCAGGCAAAACCAAAATAAAACAATAAAGAAGACAACAGTGTTGTGACACCTTAAAGACGAACTGCTGCATTTTAATGTGAGCTTTCATGGACAAGTCCACTTCCTCAGACATGTCCACGAAAGCTCACAATAAAATATAGCAGTTAGTCTTTATGGCACCTTAAAGACTAACTGCTATATTTTATTGTGAGCTTTGTTTTTATTTTTTGATCTGTTTTTGCCTGACATGTTAGATGGATAAGGATTTTCTCGAAATAGAATTTTCTCCAGCCAAACATGTATCCTAACCTGCAGAATTTTTTTAAACTCCAAATTTACTTTGTTTCATATTCAGAATCATTGTAGGGGCAAAGTTGTCTTAGCCTAACCTGTTGCTTCCTATTAATTTCACTAGAACATGCACCACTGTTTAATGATAAAAATCCTACAGTGCAGTCATGTAAATTGCTTCTGTCTGCCACTATACACAGTTTCAGGCATTCATTGTGGAACGGATCTTCCATGGAAATAGAGGTCCTACTGTATTTGTTTAAAAATAAAGTTTAATTGAGGAGAAAAAAGCTAAATGGAGTACATTGTAAAATGAATTGTTAATATACTATAGTCACACATTAAAATAAAGATCAGGTTTATTTACAATCGTGCTTTAAAATGAACATGAAAATTATCTCCCTACTTTTCCTGTTAAATGATCTATTATATACTGAGGAATTATTATTCAGTTTTTTAAAATCACATTTCCACCACTATGTTTTTTTAAAGTTTCAATATAGAACGGTATATCAGAACCAACTTATTGGACAGCAGGTTCCTTTATATTCACAGTTGCCTTTAAAAACAAATCACGGCACTTGAGAGGAGTGCACAGCATTGGGGAAATTTGTTTTAAGCATAACTGGAAAGGCTGCAAATGTGTGTATGTATATGTGTGTAAAGGAAGCTTGCTATGCCCATTAGTTTGAAAAGGAGGGAGTATGTATGGTGTTTCACTTGAGTTATTAAATCAGTTCCTGAGGGTGAAATAGACTACTTGTAGGTGCACAGTTACATTTCAGCCAGTAGAGGGACTCAGTCCACTATATTAAAATCGTCATCCCCCTTAATATTAGATAATACGCTAGTTTGAGTGTCACATTTATGAAATGAACAGACCATTTCTTCCTTTAAAATACTTTGTCTTTTAGTGTCCATCAACTTGCTGCTGTCGATGACTGGAAGAATGGCTTATGTCTGGTATGGGAGATGCTTTATGACAGGGGAAGCATTTTATTAACACAAAGGTCTATATGTTGTTAGAACAAGAGGAGCGCCCGAAATGGCACGTTGCTCCTCCTTTATAC